TTCTTTTGCTGCCAGAATGAATGGCCACCAATGTAATGGCTGAAAACCACACCTGTGTAGTACCTCCTGCCTCCGGAGGCTGAATGTCACCCCGGGGGCGGGTCAGTGGCCCTCTGCCTGGGCTGGACTGTGGCTAGAATGCTGGGAATGCAAGCACTTCCAAGCCCTTTCAAACAGTTGGCCAAATTTTGGTTGTAGGGCTCGGCCAATACTGGTCTTTCCCCCTACAAGCTATTTGCATTCCTTCCCGCACTTTCCATGTGGTCACTGCCAGCAAGGGCCGGCCGAGTCCCTCACAGGCTCGTAAGCCCTCTGACTTGCCCTTCTCTGTCTCTCTGACTCCCGCTGGAGAAAGCTCTCTGCCCTCTTAAAGTACTCATGTGATTCGATGGGGCCCACACAGACAGTCCTGGATAATCTTCCTATGGGCATCCCGTAACATTAATTCCTTCTGCAAAGTCCTCGCCCCGTAGCGTAGCGCAGTCCTGATGGGGCCTGTGTCTGTTCCTTCCTCCCCTTTGTCATTTGGGGAAAAATTCAGGGAAGAGTGAAGAAAAAAGGTGGGACGAAGTTTAATTCCTCGCGGAGCTCCAGCAGGACGGGCGCAGCAGGACGTGGAGTCAAGGATGTTTATAGCAGCTTTAGCCGTAATTTCCAAAACTTGGAAACGACCAAGGTGTCTTTCGGTAGGTGAATGGTCAAATACACTGTGGTCCATCTAGGCTATGGAGTATTATTAATGATAAAAAGAAGTTATTTATCCAGCCATGAAAACACAGGGAGAACCTTAAATGCATGCTATGAAATGAAAAATAAAAGCCAATTATAAAACATTCTGCAAAAGGTAAAATCATGTAGACGGTAAAAAGATGAGTGTTTGCAGGGTGAGTGGGGGAGAGGAACAGGCTAAACACAGGGGATTGTTAGGGCAGAGAAACTACTCCGTATGACAGCATAACGACGGACACATGCATTCGACATTTGTCCAAACCCGGCGCATGTGCAGCGTGAAGAGTGAACCCTCACGGACCGCAGGCATGACCGACACCCCAGCGCAGGCTCGTCTCTGGTCACTTACGTACCATTCTGATGAGTGTGTCCACAGTGGGGGGTGCGGTGCCTGTGCTGGGACGGGGCCTGTGGAAAATCTCTGTACCTTCCGTCCTGTTTTCTTTGTAAACCTGAAAAACCTGCCCTAAAAAAATTAAGTCTTTCAAAAACAGAATCAGAGACACAATTCCAGGCACAGCATTCTGCCAGCAACACAGTCGTGCATCAAGTGAAGAAGGTGAAGGGCCCGTGGGACATACACACGGGGCCTTCCTCCAGCCACGCCCTCCAGCCCACGTGGCCCCCAAGCAGCCCACAGAGGGGGGACCGGGGCTCCCTGCACTTGAACAATCTCTAAGCCCCACGCGTTTTAGAATGGAACACGGTGCTCCCTGCCAACCGGGCACGTCTGTGATCGCTCTGAGTAGCTGCTGCCTCTGAACTCGAAAACAATCCACATGCAGCGTTCTGAACGGTAGGTAGTCGCTGAAATCTAAGTAAATCAAAGAAATTTTTTAAAATAAAGGTGTTCATGGAAGAACAATGAACAGGGTGGCTTCCCCTGTGATTTCCTTCAAACTATTAAGATATATAGTCCGCACTAGGCTTGGGGGAAATTTAGATATATGTTAGACTTAAAAACCAGTGTATTGAGACATACCTCACGTTAAATAAGATGGACACACTTTCAGACTCGAGTTTGGTGGGTGGTCCGACAGCCGCATACACCCGTGTAACCATTTCTCCAACAAGATACCGAATGTCTCCATCACCCCAGAAAGCTCCCTTGCTTTCTCCCAGTCAGTCCCCTCCCTGCCCCACAGCCATGCTCGCCCCTATCACTGGGGACCACTTAGCCTCTTCCAGACTTCAGGGTTCTCCAGAAAAACAGAGCCAACCGCATCTATGTGCCTATATTAAGACTCATTTTGAGGGATTGGCTCCCAGGACTGTGGTGTCGGCAAGTGTGATGTCTGCATGGCGGGCCGCGAAAGCACGCAGCAGTTGGCCATGCGGCCTTGAGGCAGAATTGGATGAACCCCCCCCCACCCCTGCCGCTGTCAAGGGGTACTCTCTGTTCATCAGACCCAACTGACTGTAGGTGTTAATTGTATCTGCCAAGTACTTTCACGGCAACATCTCTATTCACGTTCAATTAAGTAAGTAGGTGCTGCGCCCCAGTCGCACAGACCCAAGACCGTCACTCTGACAATACAGGTGGAATCATGCATCTTGTGTGGTTTTGTGCCCGGCTCCTCTCATTCGGCATGAAGTTTCTGAGTCATGGATACAAACACAGTCACCCCTGTTTGCACCGGCACCCCGTTCCTTTTTATTTCAGAATCGTATCTCTTGCACGAACACAGCAGGCTAGATTCTAATACACACCAGGCATTTCACAATTTGGCCATGAGATCCAAAAATAATAAAATAAGAAAACTGCCAAACGCCAATTAGAACCCGGAGTAACTCACTGAGATATTTAAACCTCTTTAGGTCATAAAACAGAACAGCTAAGAGTCTCTTGCCGGCCAGCTGACGCATTGGGGAACACAAGGCAGGCAGCACAGTGCTCTCCGGAATACGGCGCCTCTGTGTGGCTTCTGCTGCTTTTTAATTTTAATTTAACGAAAGCTAATTAATAAAGAATACAGCCTAAACTTAAGCCAAACGTGGTGCTATTGCTTCAAAAGACATACCTGTAACGCACACCAGAGCACCCGTTTGTGGGGGAGCCTGACAGCTAGTCTTTCAACCGCTCGGGGGCAGACTGGCTAACTCTACATGTAGAAAGGGAGATTACAGCCCTGTTTCTCCGCTCATCTTCACAGCAAAGTGTGGTTACTGTTTCCAAGCCCCTCCTCTCCCTTTCTCTGAAACCCTCTCACGACAGATTTGCACAGTGCACTGCACAGCAACCGCTCTTGTTAAGGTCAGCCATGGCATCCCAACTGTTACACCACACAGGCCATCCTCAGCATTCATCACGCAGCATTGGGGAACCGGCCACTCCTGTCTCCGTCTTCACCCGGCTCGGGACTCCGTGGGCTTCTGGCTCTCTGGAAGCCCACCTCATGGTCATTCCTCCTTGGCCTCCCTTGTAGTTCTGTAGTGGTCCCTTCCCCATCCACCTTCCCTTCTGGGGTGAGCTCGCCAGTCTCTCCTGGTTTGAAACGCCTGTAGATACTCTCCTTCTCTGAATTTACGCCTCCAGGCGGCAACTCCCCCGTGTGTGCCAGACTTCTGTGTGCCTCTGCCTTTGCAGCAGCTCTGCAGTTCTCAGCCAGCCTGGGCTCCCGCTCAGCGGTCCCCTCTGCAGCCCCTCCCATCTCTGAGTCAAGAAACTACTTTCCACCAGGTGCACAGCCCGAGGGCAGCCATTCCTGAGCGCCTTCCTTCTCTGCACTACATCTACCGCACCTGTAAATCCCAGGGGCTCATCTCTGAAATCTGACCTATTCTCACTCCCCACCCGCACATTCATGACCACCCAGCCCTCATCCTCTTGCCCACATGACCCAACGACCTGGTCAGGAGGCTCCCTGATCCGACTCTTCGTGCGCCCACCCCCGTGTCTTCTCGGCAGAGCAGCCACACTGACCCCGTTAAAGTCCAGTCATCACCGCCGCCCTCTGCTCGCCACCCCGTGGCCTCCCGTCTCGTGTGGAGCCCATCCCCCTCCCAGGCACAACCTTCTGCACGTGGCCCCACGGGTTGCTCCCTCCTCTTCCCGAGGTCTTCTCCCACCACCTACTGCTACGCTCCCATCCCTCCTCCCCCGCTTCACTTTCCTCTCCAGCCCACCTGACTCACTACACACCTTGTTCTTCTCTCTGTCGCCGTCGGTCCCCCGGAGACGTGGAAGCTCCACGAGCGCAGGGCTGGTTCGCTCGGTGGACGTCCGCGTCCTGGAGACCGTGCGCAGCGCGGGGCCCGCAGCGGGAGCGGCCAGTTGGTACGTGCGGGGTGGTAAATGCTCCCGATGGGGAACGGTCGGCTTCCAGTGGTGTGATGCGGTCACTGCCACATTCACCGTGTCACGGGAAGAAGGTGCGGATTCAGACAATCCGTCCACACGCCCAGAGCGAGACGCCCACGAAAGAAGGAACAATGGGTCCCGTCGTGCCGAGACGCCAAAAGTGCCCTAAGGCGGCGTCCCGGGGGCGCAAAGAACCGCGGCACTAACACCTGGCGGACCGCGTGGGCTCTGAGCGGCGCTGCGGCCCAACGGGGACTCGGAACCGAGAGGGCTCTGCCCGAGCTGGAGGGGCACCCACCGTCCCGCCAGCAGGTGCGGCGCGCGCAGGTGCGGCGCGCGCAGGTGCGGCGCGCGC